GTATATCTGTTGGAGCTCTAGGTCCCTATACGAATCAGCATTAGGGTGACAAACCCTCACGTCAAAGAATGCTGATCGTTGGCTCTCCCAGAACCCGCGCGCATGAATATCTAATCTCGCATCTGGAGCTCGATTAGAACCTCTTCCCAGCTGATCACCCGAGATGTGATAATAATAAAGTAATAATGTGATAATAATAAAGTAATATAATAATAATAATAATAATAATAATAATAATAATAATAATAAAAATTCAATTTTTTTCAGGTCAGTTCTGGATTTAGACTTGAGAATCTTACAACTGAACAAATAGCCGAAAGAGAAAAACCATGTCATACATCCAAGTACCTTTGAATCATGCAGTATTTTTGATTGGCTGACTTAGTCAATAGTATGTTACTTTAAGAGGTCTCACTTGGGCATTACAAATTATAAACAAGAACAGTTTTTTCATCACTTATCCTATGTTGAAAACTCTATCATTAAAAATGTACAGCTAAATTAGTTCTTGTCATGTGGGAGCCACCTAAAACTAATGAATTAAAATGAACTCCTTTGTTTATTTATAGTTGGAGACAGATATGAACATAATCTCCAAGAAAGCAAGACAAGCTTTAGCCAAGTACTCACATCAGGTAAGTACTAAAACGTTCTTATCTGACTATTTTGTTCAAATTTAGTGGGTAAGACCAAGTCTATTCCAAAGGAAGCATCTTAAAAAGCCAGTTCCTTCCTTGTTAATTTCCTCACTTATTCTTGATTGGATGAATTTCCCCAGCAAATACAGGCTTTCTACAGCTAGAGCACGGCATTGGAAAAGTCACTGCCTATTGACAATCCTCGGCCTGGTTCTTACAAATAGTGTACATTTTCTCTTCTTTTTATTCTAAAATTTTGGTTGTGAAATACATGTAGTATGCTTGGTCTGGTGTACATACAATGTAAGGGTTTCATGGGTCTAGTGACCTACCAGTTAGTGGTTTTGATCTGACATCATCAGAAGTCTGAAATCTAAATCTATTCTTTTCAGATCTAATCATGAAGTAAAAACAAATAGCAATTTATATAACCATTTTTGTACTGAACAGTTGCCATATTGGTGCCCCTAAGAAGTACACCAATGCAGTGAATGCTTAAAAGTGCTGTTGTTCTATCCATGGCCCATTCTCTCTTTGAGATGTGCAAGCATTGAATCACGGTAGTTGTATTCATCATCTTTTTCTGGATATTTGTTTTAATGAATACAACCTCCATGATTCTCATTAGGCACATCTCATAGAGAGAATTGGCCATTGTTTGAGTTGTTCAGCTATTTGGGCAGAGCATTTCTTTCATGCCTGGGGTATAGCCATACCATTTTTTTGCTTGGGTTGATTTGTTGAGGGTTTTTGATGGCATGGATTATGTAACTACGAATTTTACCACTTGAAAGTAACAAAATGGCAGAACAGTGATCTCTAATGCTTGTTTGTCTTGGCCAGATTTTTTACCCCTAACTGCTTTAAAATAATCAGAAAAAGTGTTTGGAAGGCTAGAAATGTAGTGCTTGTATGTGGCTGAGGCCAAGAGTGTCTGCTCATGGAAGGTGTCTGCCTACAGGAAACAGTATAAGTTGTGTAACTGATGCAGATGCCTGGTTATACATATAGGTAGTGGTATCCAACATCCTACAAACTCGTAAGAAGACTGTTGTTATGATCACACCATCTCAAGAGACAGCCATATGGATGTCAGATTCCGAGCTGGAGGCTGGGCGTGAAATTGAGGAAAAGATTGTTGCTGATCTTAAAAAAATGCATCAACAGTTTATAGCTACCTCAGTGATGCAAGGTACCTAAATTGGTTTTATATCATTCAGCACATTGTCACAGTATAAAGCAGTGTAATTCTGTTGTAACTTTGACGATGCACAGTAAATCATATGCTACAAATATCACACCTTTGTGTTGTTGTTTCTTGTGTTGTACATTTGGTGTTTGATCCACTATGCTCGTACATTCATTTTAGGTTTAAATACGAAAATTTTCAATGAGTTGAACCCAGTTTAACACAACTCAAAGAAGTGCAGTATTTAAATCAAAGAATTACAGTGGGTTATATAATAGAACTTTTGAGCTTGAGCAGTTTGTTTTCATTGCTGACCATGTGATATTCCCTGGCCTAGAGAATTGTTCATTTATCCATCTAAAAATTATTCATTCATATGCACGTGACTATTTGAAATTTGAAAGCAAGAATTCTCAAGAGTATCATTACATAGTCTTATGTATGCAGACTTGCTTGGAAGTTCAAGTATTGTTTTTTTAAGAAAAAAAAAAGGAAAAAAAATCTAGCTGATCATGAGCTATACTATTTAGCATTCCAAGGGTATAAAATTTTATACCAGACTTTGTTTTCATATAAGTAGAGGTGTTTGTTATTGACACCTGTCTAGTAGTCACTCTTGAGAAATGTTAAAACATGAGAAGAATAGGATCATGCGTATTAAAGGCATCTGCGGTCGAGTGTCGATTGATACCTTTGATCAATACTTGATCAACACTCCATCGATGCCTTGGTTGACACTCGATCAACATATCAGTGTATATTATAGGCAAGGAAGCCCAGAGAAGCCAACTAAGTTGACTAATTGATTGATGCATATGAGTCGTTCGACACTCGGCAGACTATTGACCGACTGTTGATCAAGTGTCAATAGAGTGTCAACCAAGTGTTGATTGGGATGTCAATTGAGTATAGATTGAGATGTCCATCAAGGGTATTGATTGAGAGTATTGATCGCAGATGACTTAAGTACACATGATCCAAAGAAGATACCCCTGAGAGGCCTTTTTCACATTCTGGCATGAATTTAAAACTGAAAGTCACTGTAACCATAATGAGACACCTTCTGTTACTGATTTAGGAAACACAAGGTCTGTCATTGTTTCGGATCAACTTTGTCAAAATACCAACCAGATTCAGTCCAGTGTTCAAGTAAGTATATGGCGAGTGCTGACATGATGCTTCTGTAGGGTTTACTAGGAGAGCAATATAGAAATTCATAAAAAAGCGTAGATGCTTATGGGTCTCTACTGTAGAACAAGGTATTCTGCATTGTTATTCCAAAAAAAAAATTATAATAAAACACAATTAAGCAATTGTTGCCAGCTCTCCCACTAATAGGTTATTTAGACTTCGTGACTTATAACTAAAGGCTTTCGTGCAAAAAGGGCGTATATAGCTTTTTGGCTGATTTTTATTTTTTGCAGGATTGAGCTAATTTTTGGCAGACTGACTTGTTTTGATGTGAAAAGCATCGTTGCATAATTGTTTTTGTTGATTTGCGCGTCATTTTCGAGAAATAACGTATGCAAAAAAACTCAGTTTTCCAAGGGTATCTTTTGGAGATCTTTTGTTGAACAAAAAAAAAGAAACCTTTTGTTTTGCTAAACCACGAAGTCACCGAAGCATGGCATTTGCCGCTAGTTTTATTATTCATAATAATTGGGCTATTCTCTTACTGTTGCTTTGGTAACGCAAGTGAATAAGGCACTAAACAGGCCGGATTCGAGTTTGTTTTGTCGTGACACCGGTTTGATATGGGGTCGGTCGATTTTTTTTCCAGTCTATTTCTCCACTTCTTTCAAAAATAAAAACATCTATTTAAAAAAAAAACGTGCTGTCGAAGCTGCTGAAAGTAACCGTTTAAGTTCGCGTTGTGTCGAAATCCACCTTCGAAGGATTCACTTCAAAAGATGCCACTCGGAAGACTGAGTTTTTTGCATACGTTATTTCTCGAAAACAAAGCACAAACCAACAAAAACAATTACACAACGATGCTTTTCATGTCAAAGCAAGTCAGTCTGCCAAAAATCAGTTCGATCTTGCAAAAAATAAAAATCAGCCCAAAATGCTATATACGCCCCTTTTGCACGTAAACCTTCAACTACACTAACTCCAGCTATTTAACAAGACACTTAATTACTGGTCCCTTGCAAAACAGTTAATTTTGTTTTAATTCCTGAGAATCTCAATGTTTGTCTTGACATTTGTTGGAAAATAAAACCGTTTCTCTCGGAACCATTAATTAAGTGTATATTGTAGCATGAACTCACAGTTACTCAAACCCCTGATAACTTGAATCTTGCACTACGTCAATAAAGGTCATCTTCTTTGTAAATTTATCCTCAATAACTTGAACTTAATTTGACAAAGTCTAACAAGTCAAAGCTATCCCAAATCATTGAGATAAGTAGATTGGCCTTAAGAGTATGAAGGACTATCAACAAACTCTTTCTGTAAAGAATAGTAACTCATTGCAACTACTGCTGTAACCCACCATAGCATCTTCTGCTGTTATGGTTTGTTTGTTTTGTAGGGGAATCTTTGCTGGCTGCATTGTTTACATTTTTCCCCTGAATTAACATACAAATTTGCACAGAGAAGCTGAAGGTTTCGGAACTTTGGGTGTAATATTCAAAGGGAAATTGGCTTTCAAACACTGCAACATTTCTGGGTGGCAAAAGTGTTGATGAGTTCATAGATCCTTTGTAAAATTTTGATTTTTTAAACCTGTATACACAAAAAGTATTCACTTCATCAGACTCAAATTCCTTGGGACAATTAATTGAGGTATGCCCTGTCAATATTCAGAACTGAAGTTTTTGTGGCTTGTGTAGAAACTGTATCGCGTATGCTAATGAGGCAGACACTGTAAACAAAGATTGTTCTATTCCGTTCAGATCTGTTATGATCTGCCATACTGGCAAAGTTTTCTTTCTCTAAATCAAAATCTTGCCCTGTGGGTAACAATTAAGCAATTTTCACCCTCTCTCCCACTAACCATAGGTTACTTTGACTTCTCTTTACCTTATTACTTTACACTTACCTCCAAATATATAACAAAATACTTAACTGCTGTTCCCTTGGGGGAAGCACTTAGCTTTGTCTTCTCTCAGGGCCAGTGATGAAGTGTATATTATTTTGTAACACACAAGTTGCAAGGGAGTGTTTTCTCTATTTCTCTTGAAAGTGTTCTCAAATAGAGTAGATTACATGCCTTTGGCTTCTTTGAAATGCTTTGTGGTTGAAGTTAATGAAATAGAATATATGAAATTGATAGATTTGAACTGTGAAATAAAGATTTCATTAGAAGAAAGACCATCATGGTGAAATACAGAACTTAGGTAGTTGTGATAAGGGCTGGAATATATTTTTCAGGTTTTGTCACAGCTACGTAAGTTGTGTACATGTAGTTCACTGTGATTGTCTTTCTTCTAATCAAAATAAAGTCAATCTTTGAAAAAAAACAAGACAGGGCTGTTCTTTGTTTTATAGCCCAAAAACACATTTTGAATCAATCAGAGTGCACACAAAATTCTGTTTATTTTATAAGCTCTGAGAATACAAAGATCACAGCTACATCATTTTTCACCCATGCATGGGTGAAAGAGCCCTTACCCATGGCTAGCACACATGCCAACAGCTAAATCTAAATTGTTACATAATTGTTGCCCGCTTTTGCATTAACCATAGGTTACTTTGACTTCTCCTTACCTTATTACTTTACACTGAACTCCAGCTATATAACAAAACACTTACTTACTGGTCCCTTGGGAAACAGATAGTTATTTGTTTTCCCTTGAATCTTGAGCTTTTTCTCTAGACTTCCTATCAGGAAACATTGAGATCCTCCAGAAAACAAAACTGTTTCCCTCTGGACCAGTAATTAATTAATAAGATTAAGTAATAAGATTTAAATAAGGTTTACATTTTTTTTTTAGCTTAAGTGTATTATATATCAGGTAGCATATTGATTTGCTTCCATATTTAATTGAGAGTTTTCTTGGCACACAGATGGGGCACTTTATTACCAGCCAGATACAAGCTCTTCCAGCTTCTCAAACTGGAGAGGGTGTCATTTCAGGGTTCTCCACTTACACCATTCCAGCTGCTTCACTTGGCCTCCCTCCATCAGTAGTGCCACATATCCAGGTGGGAAAGAGTGATGAGCCATCTCCATCACAAGAGATGAGCCAAAGCACTGTGTCAGAGAGCTCAGAGTCCCCAAATTCTTCTGCACAGATTTTTGGCACCTTGTCAGATACTTGTTTAACAACAGATATGAAAGCTTTCATCGAGTCCTTCAGAGCAAGACGGATTGCTCTGGGATACACCCAGGAAGATGTGGGTAATGAGCTGTCACACAGCAATGGACATTCCTCTTACAGCCAGTCATTTATATCTCGATTTGAGTCAAAAAATCTTGGGCTTAAGGCAGCAGAGAAAATGAAGCCAGTTTTGCAAGCATGGATTGAACAGAAAGAACAAGAGTGCGCCAAAGGATTACGAATGTGCAAAAAACGTAAAAGAAGAACTTCCTTCTCAAATGAAACTCTTCAGTATTTAATTCACACTTTTGAGCAGAATCCAAAGCCTACCACTGCAGAAATTAATGAACTTTCTACAAAATTAGGACTTGAACCCGTCACTGTGAGAGTTTGGTTCTGTAACCGAAAACAAATGATGAAACGAATGGCATCTGGAAAGAGCCGCCAAAACATCTCATTAAAGGCAGAACTTGATGCCAAGAAACAGGAGGATCCAAGTGAAGAAAAAGAGCCAGCTAAGCTGGATTTTACCAACATGCCAGTTGGTCAGTTCTCATTCACAGAAGATCGTGTGAAAGCCCTTGTTTGTTTAACATCAGAGGGAAGTCCAGTGAAAAGTTCACGCCCTGCAGTAGCCACTGCTGCTGTAAGCTTTGCCCAGGTGCATGATGATAGCATTGTTCACTCAGTCCCTCAAGGTCAAAACAGGCCACAAGAAAACACACAGCTTGTTGAGCCTGGATTGATGAGAAATGGAGTAGCTACTTATGAGGCAGTATCCAATGTACCATTGACTGAATCACAGAGTTGAATAAGAGGCTCAATATACGCTTGAATCTCAACAGAGTGGAACCTGTGCATGGAGCTGCTCTATTCATTGTTGAAAATGCTGCTGGATAACAAATTTTCCACTGTCTTTGATTCATAACAAATATGTCACCTAAAGTTTTACATGCCTGTTTATGCATCTGTAGTTAATAAATCAACTGAGCAATTTAACCTGTTTGGTACAAAAGCTCAACCAAAGTTTAAAAAAATCATACTCCAACCTTGTTCTCAGGGTTTATTCTCCTAAGGTGATCGGTGACACTTGTTGTGAATCTTATAAGAGCAAGAAAATTCAAGTACTACTCTTTCCAGTAGGCCAGAACATCCATGATTTGTTTGCCTCACTACAAGACTGCAATCGCATGTCAAACATGTTATTATGCTTAATACAGTGCAATTGACACAGTGTGTTTGACTTGCGCTTGTGTTAGACAGTACATTAGTCTGTTCAACCTAATGTAAGTATCTCTAATCACATCGAAAGTCAAGCTGTCATGAATTTTTATATGTGAAAGACTTGTGGTCTTGTCACTGGAAACAACTTAGATATAGCAGATGCAATGGTCTACCGGAAGCATAGTGCAATAAGTCAAAAGACCACTTCTGTGTTGCCTTTTGTCTCTGTTTTAATTGGATCCTAGTGCAAGACCTTTTTTGTAAAATGTTAATTTAAGATTTTGCACCTGAACTCCCTTTGAAACAGAGGCAAAGGGAAACTTGACAATGGCCTCTATTTTTCATTGAGGATATACAGTGGAATACAGATTTATCAAATCCTTGATTTTTTTAATCTCCTGATAATGCGAACCCAAAGTAATTTCCCTCCCCTCAAACAATGTAATATGACCCTAGATTTCTCAAGCTACTCAATCTTTCAATCCAATTTTCGTTTCCCATGGAGGTTCAAAAAATCAGGATTCCACTGTATCTTCAAAGTTGAAAAGTAAGGGGTTCATAAGTTCCCTTCAAGAGTTCAACCAGACGTGAGTGGTTTAAGGTATATTAATTTTGCTAACATTGTAATAGATACCAATAGATAGATATGAAACGAAAAACGAGAACTGCAATAATGGTCCCGGAAACATAGCCGTTTTAGATCTTGTAAAGATAATTTTTAGACTAACATGGTCTGAACTCTAAAGAGTTCCTAAGCTTATAAGGTGTAGTGTATTCATTGTTATTGCAGACAGCATTCATTTGCCCCCGTAAAATACGTTTGCAACAGTAATTATAATTTCTACAGCCCAATTCCTTGAGAGGAAAAGTACAAAATTATACAGCAGCAGCAGCAGACTTTGGCAGCTCAACATTAGCATAAACTGCCTCACAGCCATGCTTTGATAGCACAGCTGACAAATCAGAGACATTGTACTGGCTACAAAAAGTAATTGGAATTATTTGTATTTGAAACTAATACAAATTGTAGTTGAAATCTGAACAGAAAGATAAAGATAAGTGCTGGAAGCTTATTTTGATGTTGCCTTAACAGTAGCCTGGGTATATTATAAAACAAAAACTTGTGTGACTTATTTTTTAAACTCTGATCTGTTTGTTACAGTTAGTTGCATATTTTCTGGATGAGATTTGCTCACTAAGGTTTTAGTTAAAGCAACAATATCTTCATATTGAAATTCTATGTCCTTGCCAAGTAATTCATAAAACAGGGACAGCCGAGACTACAAGTATTCTAAGCAAAGATTATAAATATGAATCTTTATTAGCCTTTTTAGGCAAATATTTACCATACAAGGTAAATTTTTACAGCTCTACATTGCTAATAGCTGATTGTTTGAAGTACATTGGTGTCTCGTCCATTTGCCTTCTTAGGCCAATACTGGTGTAATTTGCTTGACAATGCATGGTTTTGCAACTGGCTAGAAGAGCTTACCGTGAAATAAAGCTTTTTAACTCAGCTGATCCAAAATTATCTCAAGTTATTCTTTTTGTTTATCAGAGATGTTTGAAATTTGTTTAAGTAGCTATCTGTATCTTAAGGCGAAGCATAAAATAAAACGGTTGGGTGATGTATCCAACACAAGAGTGTTTCTCATCACAGATCAATCACTTTCTTCAGTAAGAAACGTCAATACGAAACATAAGGCAAAATGATGCCTGTTTTTGTTAAATTAAAATCGTGGTCCTGTTAAACATTATTTAGTCAAGCTACCTGTTTACTTTAAAGTGCCTATGAAATGAAAAATAATTGCTGCTTATTTGACAGTTCTTTCAAAATATATTAGAATGGCATTTTCCTTTTTGGAATATCTTCTTTCTCTTTAGAGTTACTGACATTTTTGTATTATGCAAATTAGGAAAGAAAGAAAGGAGAGAGAATATCTCAGGGAATATTGTGTTCTTCAAACTTGGCACCAGAAATAGAAAATATCACAAAAGAAACAAAATGGCACTTTAATCTATAACCATTTCTGTCCTGCAAACATTAAGCAGCCATCTTGCAGATCTCTTGTCATGAGATGATAGCAATGTAGCAATGAATCATGTGACAACAATGATGTAACAGCAGCTGATGGTGATCTGAGAGTCAAGTCTCTGATCAGATTTTTTGCTCCATTTGAAAGCATGAAACAACAGATTTGTAAATCAGCAATGGGTGACAACATCATAAGTACTTGTTTTCTTTTTAACTCCTTGTGTCAAGTTCCTGTAATCATGGCACCCAATGGTTTCATCTTTGCCTCCCACTCTTCTTTTTATCACTGGCTTTGACCATCAACTGGGTCAGTCACTTGATGATTAGGATGCATTCCTTTGGGATGATCTAGATCAGCATCAAGGATCCAAGACCACTTGGATCATGTTGCATCAAACGAACAGATGAATCCATTTTGGGCAAGGATTTGTGGACTCCTTTAATGTACCACAATCAAAGTGATCTTGAATCATTGATTCTGATCCAGATCATCAAAAAGGAACACACTCTTAAACCTCAGCTATTGGTACAGTAAATTCACCACTTGTTGATAAGCTGCAGTTGAATAACGGCAACAAAACTTATCTTGCATGGAAATTATCCTTGCCCTGCATGAAGCACTTCATGTCATTTTTTACTTGTATCACCTGGAGGTTCTTGGTATTGCTTTGGAAGCTTAAAACCCACTAAGCCAGCCACCTCCTCAACAGGTCTCTCACCGGCACCCTTGTACTTTGCATGAAGCATCTACAAAATTAATTAAATCTCATGGTTTTCTCTTGGATGTAAAATGGATAAATTGAAATACAGACGATCTCGCAGGTGAATAATGGTTGCTACAAATGACTAGTAGTCACTGCTCATTACTGTTCAGTGTTGTGATATATCTGTGCTGGGCCTTATAATAATAACTATGCTAATACACATTACTACACTCTTTAGATTCAAAGACCCTATACTCCGACAGACTACCTAACAAATATATATATATATATATATATATATATATATAACTACAGGTTAAATTAACGAGTAATTATTTCTTCACTGATCTGAAAGACATCTGTACTTCATACATTCTTGTGAATTTAGTTTAATGAATTGAGATCCAGTGCTCACATTGTGCAATGCCAGAAAATATCGATACCCACCCCATAAAAGGTCCATAAATGGGAAGGGGATGGGGGAAGGGGGTCTCAAAACCCAAAAATTTAAAGGAAAGTACATGTATGAGGTTAAACTGGAATTCCAGATGTGTGTTGGAAGGGGGTTGGGGTGGTCAAACCAAAACACTTCCCATAAGGAAGGTATGGAAATTGATTTTAATCCAAACATTAGTGGCTATGTCTTTGAGTATGTCTCCGGAGAGTTTTCTTTCTTAACGGTTGAATGGTTTAATGCCTGTGACAAAACTGTTTACATAGTTGGCGACTTCATCATCGACCTCCTCAAATCTGAAAGCTGCAATTATGCGCATAATTTTCTACTCTCGCTACAGAGCTATTCTTTTATCCCATTAATAGATAAACCTACAAGAGTTTACGGAAATTCTGCTACCTTAATTGATAACATACTTGTAAATAATACAACCAATCTCTTATCCTGTGGTAATATAATTTTAGATATCAGTGATCACTTTTTGCAGTTCTGTGTAATGTCAAATAACCTAATGAAAAGGAGTGTTAACGGATTTAAAAAAGTCCGTGATTTTTTGCACTTTTCGGAAGTTAAATTTTTAGCGGAGGTGTCAAATATTAACTGGAATAAAATAATTTCTCTACCAAATATGAACAACGATAAATTGTTTTCAAAACTTTACAACAAACTCAACAAGGTAGTTAACACCCACGTGCCTTTTAAAATTGTCTCAAAACGCAGAGCAAGACAACTTTCTGAACCATGGATTACCAAGGGTATAAGGAAATCAATCAATATTAAGAACAGCCTATACCATTCTAACGTTAAAGATCAATATAGACTAGATAGAAATAAAATTTCAACTCTAATTAGACTAAGTAAGAAACAATATTTTCATAACTATTTTCAATGGAATATTTTCAGCATGAAGAAGACCTGGGCAGGTATAAGTGAACTCATTAATCGCAGAAGGAAAAAAATGAAAAAAATCCCTGCCTTAAAGGATGAAAGCAGTGGTCGTTTAATCTATGATCAGAAGGAATTACCTTCGATCCTGAACAAACACTTTGCTTCATGTGGAGCAGCTTTAGCTGCTAAGCTACCCCACCCGGAACACCATTTTTCGGAATTTCTTGTTAATAATCCAAAGACCTTTTATTTGGTGAAGTAGAATTGGAGATATCGCTATTACCTTTGAACAAGTCACATGGAGTTTACCCATGCCCTGTTAGTATTTGCACTAATGGAAATAATGAATGCTTCGATCCTTGAGGGAACCTTTCCTAGTAAATTAAAGCTAGCTAAAGTGGTCCCTGTCTTCAAAAGTGGTGAGGATACCGACCCCAATAATTATTGTCCTATATCGCTGCTCTCTATATTCAACAGAATCCTTGAAAGACTAATGTACAAGCGTTTAAAATCGTTCTTTGAGATAAATGGTCTGTTTTATGAGT